ACCTGTTTTGATCACTCTGAAGATACGCCAAGGCTCTTCCTCTTGGTGTCAGCTTTTCCAAAAGACTGTTTTAGAATGTAAGACTTCTTCACAACAAATTTCTCTATTTCGTATCAGACTAAAATGTTAAGGTGTCTGAATAATTTGTGTGTTTTCCCCAATGTTATGGAATTTACGTTTAAAGGCTGCTGTGCTCCCCAAGCCAACTTTCTCTAGCGGTGCAGTTTTGCATCCAGCTTGGTATGCCTGTTCCCTTTCCCTCACCTCACCTTGTGGATTCAATGGATTATATCCCTATCTCTGTGGCTAAATCGCTTACCTTGTAGGGGTAATTTTTGCCTCTGCTCCCTTGCAGCTCACATATCTTCTGGTGTTTTCACAGAACTCCCGATCAGTCTCTCAGAATATATATATACTTCATATTATAACCATAGCACTTCATTTGTGGTTTCATATGTTCTTCGTCCATGTTTTATGGGCTCCCAAATTCTGTTGGTTTCCTGTTACTTAATGTTATGCCAAGAAATCTGTCACTCACAGTAATAGGACTGATCCCTTTCCTGGGTACTGAATATTTTTATTTCTGATATAACATGTTCAGAAATGCTTAGCATATAGTTACAGGATTTTAACAGAAGAATAGGGAAGTCTGATTTATGAAGATGGGCAGTTTTATTTCCAATTACATTATCATTATGATGTTCCTCCCCATTGTTGCCATTGAATAGGCAGTGGCATTTCAATATCTGATTCATGCCCTGAATCCAGCCTATGAGTGACTGCACCATTCTTTACCTTTATTAGTAAGGTGGGGATTTTGTTTGCCTTTTTTAAGGAAGTATTCTGAAATTTCCACCAGCAGAATTATTCGGATAAATGTGTGTTAAGTTTAGGTTTTCCTGAGTGAAGTCATGAAAGGATTCAGTTACAGTTAAGCATTATCTGCTATTTAAAGAGAGAACAATATTCTTTCGTGAGCATGAGATGAGGGCAGCCTATCTACCTCATGCTGTGACTGCAGCATCAGCAGGCGCTATCAAAGACTTAGGAAATGACAAGGACTTTAGCTGAAAATATCAGCCATTAGAAAAGCTCTAACCTTTATAATGAGTAACTGACTTAATTCTCGGTTCTCTGCAAACCTTGTTACATCAAATCAAAACAGGTCAGTGCCGCTTACAGGTGGTCCAACGTTTGCTGTGCTTGAGATGGGATCTCGGGTTTTGCCCTCCCCATCTGTGGGAAGGTGGCTGAGACATTGCAGCAGTGTCAGGAGTTCAGTGCCAGGTTGCTCATACGCCCAGGAGGAATTGTCTCACCTATCCTTCTCCCCAAGGACTGACCAAACAGCTGCTTGAGGAAAAATATCAGCTGTTTGGTGGTTGTGTTTTGCCAGGCTGCTATTCCCTGCACCCTCCAAGGGATGGTAGATGGATGGAAGTTCTCTTTGAACCGTGCCTGTCTTTAGCTTGGTATCCTGGCCATAGTTGTCCATATTTTGAGCTTCAGACAAACATTTGGTAGACAAGAATCAACAAAACAAATAGGAAGGAAGCAATTATTTGCTTGTGATGAGACTACTAATTTTTCTTTGAAATGGCTTTCTATGGACTTTCTAAACATGTTCTTTCAGAATGGCTAGGAGACATGGGTAGATTAGAGAGAGAGCAAAGCGGTTTCTGTAGGAGCTCTGCAAGAAACTTCTGGATATTGCTGGTTTTCCCATCTTCTTGTTTTTAGAGTCTTCTCAGCTTTTAAGTCCTTTTCTCTTTTCTCCCAATGTAATATTACACAGATTTAATGATTAATTACAACCTCATCCCTTTTCATACGTAGAGTTGTATAACTATCCTAATTAAACATGGACACAGTAAAATTGCAAGCTAGAAAGAGCTGTCTGGGCTTGGATGATAATAGTTAAATGATTTATATTTACAGGCATCAATATTTATCATATGTCTACTGTCTGTCCTAGCTTGTCATCTATGGTTGAGTGTGTCATTCATTGGCTTTAGTTAGCATTCCAGCTTCTTTTTTCTGGACACTGTGTTCTTGGCTGAGGAGAGTATTGCTCTTCATAAGATTATGTAGTAAGACCATATTCTAACTTTTGCAAATGCTGTTAGTCTTCCTGAGTTCACCTGGGGAGTTTTTTTTCTGCTTAAGTTTCAGAAATGTAGTGTTTCAAGGTGCTTAAAATAAATGAGTCAGTGTCTCCTCCTGCCCCCAATTGTTCTCGAACAGGGAGCTCTTGCTAAAATTATTTAGGGTGATGCCCCTGACAAAAATACAGATGAACCAAGTCCCAGTTTCCACTGAGCTTCAGTATGTTAAACAGGCACAATTTATTTTTCTTTTCTGCAGTTCTCCTTGGCTCTCGCAGGGTCAGAAGCAGCAGTAGCACTTTGGCTGTTCCCAGTTGAGTCATTTGGAATGCAAATCACTTTGCAGTGATGCCAGAGGTTCCCTTTGTGCTGGGCTTTATATAAAACACATGACAGATTGTCAGCTTTGTCACATTCCCTGGGCAGCAGGGAACAGGTAGAGGCTTCAGCTTTTGATTTGGACAGAACTGGACTAGTATCGGAAGATCTTGCAGCCAGCTTTGCTTTGCAGATAACTGTAAATCATGTCAGAATGCTACATTGAGTGCTTCTGACTGATATTCTGATTCTAACATAATTCCTCGATGCAAATAATACCTACTGGGGAAGCTTAGCAGAACATGTGCTCTGGGGAATACAGTCCCTCTGCACCCTTCCACACCCTTCTTCACTATCCGGGCTAGATATGAAGAGCAGAAGTGAAGCCTAGGGAAAATATCAAGCAATACAAATTATCTGCTCTTGATTGATCATGCATTATCTGAGCTGCAGAGTTCTGGGGTTGCAGGAGCACGTGCTGCATCTACATAGAGAATCTTTCAGGAAAGATGGCTCTTGTCCTGTGATTAAGTGCTGCAAGTCTGGTCGGGAACTCTCTTCCCAACTGGACGAATAGGAATCTGAGTAGATTTCCCCTGAAAATAAAGGAAGTGATAGATTTTTACTCTGTTTCCGAGCTTTGCTGGGTATTAAATATCTTGATTAGTTTGCATGAAACCAAACCAGTGTGTCTTAAACGGAAGTGTCTCTGGAGAGCTGGACTAAAGTGGACCTTGTATGAATCCGTGGAATACTAGTGATTAAATAAGTTGTGTCCATAAATTGTGTTGGGTTTTGGTTGCTATTCAAAGCTTTTGAGTTAGTGACACTTGTTTCAGACATATTCAGAAGGAAACGCTGAACATTCTCTTCCTACTTAGACTCATGTTACTAGGACAAGGCATGAATGTCTCTACCATTTCAATTTTAAATAAAGAAAAGTTGAAATTTCTTGGGCAAAACAATTTTGGGTCTGTGGAATATTTTTTAAATTATTACAGAAATCTTAATTTCTGAGATTATGAACTTTGATTCTTCTGAGTAGTGCTGTGTCAGCACAATCCACAACCCCGATGTTGGGGAACTTGCTCTGAAAACTGAGGATAGTGACTGTAAAAGTTACAACTTAGCATAGTGAATAGAAAGAGTAATGAGACAACATGTAAGACTGTTACACAACTCTATTAAAGCCACCATTTTGGAAAATTATGTAGCCGTCTGGGTCTGTCACCCTGACTTACTGTGCCCTGGATTTCAAAGATGCTGCTCTTCTGGGTCTTCTACATAATTTTGTAGATACAGTAACTTCTTAAAAATCAGATTTTGATTAAAAGACTTTGAACAAATTCCTTGTGTTAAAATAGGACCTCATGTTCTCTCTTCACTGTCACAGTAGGTTCTCTGTAACTTAAATCCACTCTAAATGCAGAATCTCGGTGCTGCGGTCGCTTGCATTACACAGTTCCTCTCTGAGGCAATGTGAATTGGAGCAAGCAGATGGAGCACACAGATGAGCAGACCTTGCAAGCATTTTGAAAATAGGTCTTGAAAGGGGTTTTGGTATAGGAAGCAAATAGAGCTGGATGAATAAGAATGGCACTCATCAGGCTTTTTTCTTTCTGGTTTTGATTTTCCTATAAACTTTGCTTTCTTTGAACTTAGATCAGAATTGCCCTGAGTTCAAAATCCTCCTGTTTTTATGGGGCCTCTGCTTTTAAAACATAGGTGCGCTCTCTGCTCTGCAGGTGATTTTATTCTTTTCAGCAAGTCTTGTGGTTTGATTCTCTCATTATCCTCATACCAATAACTTTCCCTTTGGGACAGGAGGTAGTCTAAAGGCAAGACACTACGAAAACCAGATGGGCTACACATTAAAATGGAGCTGATGAAGCTCACAGCCTCTTTGCAGCCTTATCAGGTGTGCGTTTGTATGGGTGATAAAATCAGCACTCAAACTTCTGGCAAGTTTTTTTTCATTTCTCTTCGACTTTGCAGCCAGACTTACTTTACGTTCACTTCTGTCTGCAGTGATGTAGGTAGAAGTTTGGCTGCTTTGCTTCTGTGCTGGAATTGTGTTTTACAGGTTCATGACAACCTTGGTGACTTGTGAAAGCCACATAACCGTACAAGGGAACTTGCATAACTCTCCAGACCAACTTGCACACCGCGCTGTGTATACCAAGACCACTAGCAGTATCATTGAATTCATCTTATAGGTGTTTTTTCTGAGAGTTGTCTATTTAGGTATTCACAGCTCCAAATCTGGAACAAATGTACTTTTGAAAGCTAGTTCAGACTGCACACAGTAATTATAATGTGGGAAGTACTGTAACCACTAGTAAAGATCTGTTACTATGTGTGGAACTGCAGGCAGTTTGCATGTTAATGCCCTAATTTGAAAATCTGGTTTTGAAGGACAAGCCATGAGTTGAGTGCCCAGTAGCATGTTCCATGTGCCATAGTTGGCTTAGATTAAAATCTCTTAAGCTGTCAAATGGCTTTGCTTTTGGAAAATCTTGTAAGTGGCATGCCATGTTAATTTTTAAATGTAAATTAAGTATTTCTCTTTGTTTATAGGAACTGGAGACATTGTTGCTGTCATGATTACAGAATCGAAGGTTAAGGAGATCCTGAATTACTTGGAAAAGAATATCTCTGTCCTGATGGCAATAGCAGTGGGGTCCCGTGTTCCTCCAAAAAACTTCAGTCGGGGCTCTCTAGTCTTTGTGTCAATATCATTCATAGTTTTGATGATAATTTCTTCAGCATGGTTAATATTTTACTTCATCCAGAAGATCAGGTACACGAGTGCACGTGACAGGAATCAGGTAAGGGAATGATTCTGGGTTTTTTCCTCATGAGTTCTGGAGGTGATATTTCCATATACAATAGTCAATAGGGAGCAAGTAATTTCTAAGGAATGTCCATCAAACTCGTGTTCAGAACCTCTTTGTTCCAAGGCAGAGCATGTTGCTGGACAGGGATTTTTATACAGCAAAGTGTTTTCATCCTGAGCAGAGCCAGTACAAGATCTTAATACATGACAGGAAAGAATAGAACTGAAGCAAAATAGTTGGGTTTTGATGAACATAAGTCCAAGAGGAAGATAGAATCAATGTTGGCTGAATAACACATATTGTATGCACATTGGAAATGGGGAGGAAAGTTAAATTGTGAATGAACTTGTGAACTGTAGGGGATCACAGAGCTAACGTTATGAATTCTATCCATGTTCTTAAGGATAGCTTCAGTAATAGTTAAGGTAATTCAGAAGTTGTGTAAAGGTATTTCTGAACTATAATCTGTCATGAATGTTAGGGTAAGAAAACTAAGGTATAGAGCTGCTTAGTGATCTGTGTTAACTTTCAGCTTTACTCAAGATCATACTTGGTGTGGACTACCTAATTCTCCTGGTCATAATTTTAAGTAAAATTTTGTCCAATATGCCTTTCTTACATTCTTGTTCAACTCTAAATTTGTTTAAGAACAGAATTAAGTGTGGCTATACTCAGAGATGTTGACTAAATCAGTCATCAACTTAAATATGGATTAAACTTTAGAAGTAAATGTTTTACTAGTGTGGACTTAATGACCCACTGCCTCCATAGTGTGCCTTGGCTTTTATTGAGAAGGGTCACTAAATCTTAGGAAATCCGCTGTGCTCCTTTTACCTTTGTATCTCTCTGTCAAGACTAACTTACAAAGCTGCAGACCTCTAGTCACTGTCCCCCCCTTTCCTCCTGAATTATAGCTAATACACGGGAGCTCACTCTGAGGCAGTGCTTTGGTGTTTTGTCAAACCTAAAACAAGTGCAAACGTATAAAGCCTGAGTTGTGACAAGGGATTTCCTTTTTGGTTTCTATAAATAGTGTCTGATGCTGCAGGTCTTGTGAGCATCCTGTAGATTTTCTTAAGGATATCATTCTTAAATGACCACACTCTAACCGGTACTTAGCATGGTCCCTTGGGATGGTGAAAGTTTAAATATAACTGTTACTCAATGAATGTCTGTGAATACTAAATTGTGCCTTTTGCATCCCCTACATGGTTCTAGGCTTCTTCCAAATGTCCGTGTTTCAAAACAGTTGCTCCATGGGGAAAGGACTCTTATGACCTTTTTTCTTTCTTTAGATTTTTACAAAGGTCAGAAGAAACTTGATGAAAATTTTATGTGGCTTAAAAAGCTGAGCTTATTAAACTTTAATAAGAAGGTGGCGACAGCTACAGCATATTTTAAGAGCTTTGAGAACCGTCACAGAGTGAAGGCTGTCCTGTTACTGATGAAATAGATTGTTTAAGGCTATGATCTTGTTTTTAAGTTATGTCGAGGCACACTTTTTTTTTTAAAAAAAAAGAAATCCATCAAAACTGTACTGTGTTTTGTAGATAGTGTGGGTAGATACTGGTATTTCATATCGTTACGCTTGTGCGCTTCCTCCAGAGGTTTGAAACTCTCTTGCATGTCATGGTGGCCTTTTCCATCAAGACAGTTCTGAGTTTTAAAAGCAAGCGTATGCTGTATAGCTATCCCCTAACTTATCAAAATAGCAAATCCTGAGCATTTCCAATGTTAGCATAGAAAAGTATTTGTTAAAATTAGAAAAAGAGATGGATCTCTTAACTGGAACAGGTGAAGTTATTGTTTAGCAAATCTACTTACGTAAGAGAACATGGATATGTTTTGGAAGAGTTTTGCTGAAATATACTTCCAATAGGAAAATAATCTTGTAGTGCACATAGTCATATGCAGTACAACTAAATATAAATACTACCCACAATTAAGTGGTTGGTAGTGTTGAGCATTTAAGTGTCTTTTCAGCCTTATTCCTCTCTTAGTAATCACACTTTTGGCTATGCAATGATTATCTACTAGAGCAGTGTGCCAGTATATTCTGTGCCATTAACTACTCAGCTTGTTCCAGGACATGTAATTTAGATTTGCTTAAATCGACCAATTTCTCACATGTTGAGGTTAAGATGAGATTTCTGACTTCAGGAAGCATGTAATTTCCCCATCCCAGCTCTGTTTCTGATGTTGCATTTCCTGCGTGGGTATGCTTTAGTAGTTGGGACTGAGTATCTGATTTTTTTTTCAAATCCATGCTCTAAAACGTATGAAATAGGAGCTGTTCTTCTGTGGAAACTACAAAAAGTGCTTATGTAATTCTAGGATAATGGTGGTACAGTTGGTTGTGGTGGAATTCTGAGGTCTTTGTGTTTCTCAAATAAAAGCAGCCTTAGTTTCAGTTTGGATGCAGAGAACATGTATGATACAGGGGGATACACCTCGTGAAGGGTTTGATTTTCGACTGTATAGAAGGTGGGCACAAAACACTCCCATTTGTTTCAAGCTATATGGGAGGTTTTGATAGGTGCAGTTTACATTCTGAACAGTCAGTCTCTTTCAAAGGCAGAGTACTTAGTACAAGATGGAGGTGAAGGATGAACTACATGAACTTCCCTTTTTCCAGTCAATGTAAACCAGATCTGATGTCTCAGGAACCTGAGACAAGACATGAGCTTTGTTGCACTTGGTGCCCCATCTCTGGGATCCCGTGGATCAGCTGGCAAACAGCCATTCTCTGTTGGCTGGAAACTGGGCATTGCAGCACTTGAACTGCAGAAATGGCTCCTTCCATCCAACAGTGGTGTTCATAAAAACAGCATAAACAACAAAAAAGAGTAGCTTGGACTCTGCATTTAGGTTGAGGTTCATCTTCAAACTGGTATTCATTTTGGCTTTATTTAAGTCTGTATTGGCTTATTTAGATTTCATGACCCATTATATTTTTTCTGTGAGATCTGGTGGTTTCAGGTAGTGGCAAGGGAGAACCTAGGTTACACTGAGAGGATCTCTTATGTCTCAGAATAAGATCAGCCTGCTTGGGGGGGTGTGGGGAAATTCAAGCTTAAGAAGAGTACGAGGGGTATATTACAGCACTGAATAAAAAGCAATATAAACAGAATATAATGGAAATCATCAGGAGGGCATGTTGCTCCAGCTTTTATCCTGCGGGCTGGGCTTGATTGCTTTTGTCACACAAATGTTGAATCACTTTTGTGGATATTTATACAGTCCGTGAGGCTTATGTCCATGCTTATCGAGTGCATTTGTGGGCCTAACTGTTGGGTTTTTTCTTCCTGACAAATCTCTGCATGCTTTGCTGTGTATGCTTTTTGTCTTATGTGTTGGCCTACTGCCATAGTGTGTATTGCAATGTTAGTATTGAGCCCAAATAAGTCATTATAAAGGACAGTAATGAAGCTTTAATATCAGAGTTAATTTGTGTTCTTTTCTTTGTCACTTTATTAGCGTCGTCTTGGAGATGCTGCCAAGAAAGCCATCGGTAAATTGACAACGAGGACAGTAAAGAAGGGTGATAAGGTATAATAATAATATTTCAACTTGAGCATCATGTTTAATTTTTGCCATGGGAAGCAATCTCAGTTTTTCTTTTTTACTTCTGATTTATGGCCTTGCCTTCCTTGTTGGAGGCTTACTTTGTCCTGTGGCACAGTATTTTGTGTAACTTTTAGTATCGATGTATGCTGTAAGTCTGTACATTTCAAAGTTTTTCTTGCTTAAATACTACTTGCGCTCCATCTGGCAACTGTGACTGAGAGTGGGTTTGTGTGCTAGCTGGCTGGCGGCTTTTCCTGGTAGGAGTGCATAGGCCTAGCATTGTTTGTGTAGAATTCCATAAGCTTAGAATCATTCCATATGTAAGTTGTGTAAAGTAAAAATAAATTTCAAAAACCGGTAATAAAGGATAATCTCTTATATAAAATCTGAATATCCAGTAATCTGAGGAAGTGTATAAACAGGTATTTCATTAAAGACAGTAAATGTTATTCCAAGAATATTTCTTGCCAGTATACAAACTAAAATATATGGTGTGTTAAGTTCTAAACTTTTTCCAGTTTTTATAAGCAGTACTGCTTTGGTTTTGATTCCGAAAGGAAAAAATAGTCACTTAATCTTGCTTAATTTTTCCCCTTTAATTTGCAAAAGGCAAGGGAATTCTGGCTATGATTTGATTTTTAAGAGAAGATTATTTCTTTAGGCCTTTTTAGTGTGATTCCTTCTTATCTTTCTCACCAACACTATCAGCAATAGAAGATTAGGAAGTGATGGAAAAATTTACTTCCAGAGAGGAGGCAGAAAAAAAAGTCTTTCTGCTCTTTCTCCCTCCCTATGTAGTTTTATTCCAAGAGAGCCCGCTGCACTAAATCTTTTCTATGGGTATGGGAGTACCTGTAGATAACGGGAACTTCTCCATATTAAAAGAAAAGATGCTGTCATCTTGACAGCATAAATTCAAAAGTGGCAAGTGGCATGAAGGTTGCAGCACAGATGGTGTGAGATGCACACGCAGGTGAGGAGAGAGGAGGAGAAAACCTGCCCTTCATCAGAGCAGCCCATCGGGATTCTCTGCCTGCAGCACTGCCTGGTGCTGACCAGGTTGTGGCTGCGGTCTTGCTGTGGTTCCTGTCTTGGTGTCTTGCTGGTAGCTTGCTGGCATCAAAAAGCATCATGAACTTAAACTAAGAGAAGGCACAGTCTGTCTTGTGTCACAAGCCCACATGTTTTAAATACATATTGCTGATGCCATATCTACCTCCAAATGAAGTCAGCCCTTTTTCATTAGAGATTTTAAGTTGTTGTGTTTAAATAAATAAATAAATAAAAAGGTAATAATTTCTGGAAAAGACAAGAGCCAGTCAGTCAGCGATCCTCATCTTCATGTCTGGATAAGAATGATGATAATTCTGCAGGTAAGGGGCAGACAAAAATATGGGACTACTCTGAAATAAGTAAAATTTGCTAGTTCCGGCTATAAAAGGGAATCCCAGGATTCTTATCCTGCCAAAAAAACCCAAAACCTGAATAAAAGTTTTAGTTCCAACCTGAAGTAAAGCCTCTGGGAAAATCACCACTGTATTTTATAGTGACTTAACTGAATATTAGAGTCATCATAGGCCTTAGCTTATGTTTCAAATGATCATTTACCAGCTCCAAATAAGGGGAGAGTTTTGTACGTATGAAATACTTTTCTTTCTCAAGTCATGTTGGAATATAATAACCCAGTTATTGGTTTTGTATATTCTTAGTAACAGCCACTTGGCACAATGCAGTTCCTGTACTAGTCACAACTGCTTTTACATTTATCATAGTCTCAACCTCTTGACTTGAATTTTCATTCTGTTCCTTTTAGGAAACAGACCCAGACTTTGATCATTGTGCTGTCTGCATTGAAAGTTACAAGCAGAACGATGTTGTTCGCATTTTACCATGCAAGTAAGCTAGTAAAGTTGCTTTGTTTGGAAACTGTTCTTTCTTTGTGCTCCTTTGCTTCATTTCATGTAATATGTGCATTGTAATTTACAGACACGTTTGTTAGATGTTTCCTGTCCTAATAACAGCCACTTTATTTTAGACTATGACACCAGAAGGTGGGTGCTGGTGCTGTTATAACAGTAGAAATTAAACAAAAGATTATGATCTTGAAGATGGGCTGTTTCGGCATATCAGCAGTGGAGCTATTAAGATTGTAAGGGGGGAGAGGGTGGTGGTGCAGATTCAAGGACTGAGCAGTAGGCAGACGCAAAAAGACTGGAGTACAATGAATGAGGTACAGCTGCAGCATTCTGCACAGTAGATGTGCAACATTGGCTGCGGATTTCTGAAACAGTGTAGGAAACAGAAATGCAGTCTTTCAACCTTCATAGCTCCTCTGACATCAGCCAGCCACTGTGCTAGCATCTGTCTTTGGGCTCTCCAGTGCAGTGTGTTCTTGGCTCGTGCCTGAAGAGTCAGGCTTGCTGGATATTCCGCATTGGTGCTTAAAATGTACCAACTTCCTCCTTTTGTTCTGTTCTCTTGACATTTACAGGGTTTCAGTTTGTTTCCATTGCACTTTCATTCTTGAGTTGTTTTGGGTTATTTGCTCTTTGAGAGATACTTTTTTCTACCTGGTGATTGGTTTTGATGAATCTGTACACTTAAGCGTTACCAAGGACGTCTTTCCCTTGTATTATGAAATGCAATTCTCCTTATCTCCAGACACAAAACCCACATGTAAGTTATGTTGTATATATGCAGCCAAGATCCAGTAATTTGGCCTGTGCTTGGTATATAAACAGTGTTCTGCATGATACTCTAGAAGCAACGAAGTTGATGGTGTTGGAGCTGATCTTCAGTCACACAGCAGCAGCTCCTAAGAGCTTGTTATTGGCCTTCTAAATCCTCCTGCAGGCTGTTCCAAATAGCTGGAATATTTTTCTTCTAATACATAATGAATTTCTATCATCATAAAAGGAAAACAGTATTATTTTATATCTTACTGATCAAAGTACATGTGCATTCTAATTCTGAAGCCAGAAGTTTAATTCAGTTTACTTTCCTCTGTTCTTTACCTATTGGACTGTGGGAGACAATGACCAGTTTTAGACTCTGTGTAGTTGTTTAATACACCCTACAAATGTTTGTTTAGAAACTCCCATTAAAATATTTGGGAATAGAAAAGATTTGTCTTAGATCTGCAAAGATTTGGGAGCTTTTGGTTATGCAGATGTGTGTGCATTTCTGCTTTTACAATTCAGTCATTTTTACTCAAAGACTATGTCCTCTTACCCTAAAAAATGTACTTCCAAGTATTAAGTAGAGATTCCAGAGAGCTATGTCCTATATTGTAATCTCAAGTAAAGCTTGTATACATGCATTAAGCCCTGGTCTTTGATTTGTTAAGTAGAAGACTATTTGGAAATTAGAGGAGGAACTTCTGGAAACTGCACACTAATTTTGGACCACCGCCTCTTAAGAAAGCTTTACTTGTGTAGTTCAGGGTGCGCTAGGAGAGTCAAGGAGGTGGAACAGAGGTTCACAAGTCCCACTCCTTTGCCTTTCTCTTAATACTGATCCAGAGGTCAGAGTGTGGTCCTTGCCAGTGAAGAGAGAATGAGTCTTCATCTGATGGGAAAGCATCTTCTCCCTCTAAAGACAAGGCAGAGGTGGGACTAAAATCAACTTCCTTGGTTAAACAACTGCCCCTGTCTAAGCAATGGGTATGTTGCTAGTATCAGGAGATACAATACAGACCATTTAACCAAGATGATAATTGATTTTTTTAATAATAAAAAAAAAAATTAAAGTCTGCTTCCTTTGGACACCTGTGGTGAGCTGCAGTCCTGCAGCCAGGAAGCCCCTGCTCTTGGGATAGTTACAGCTGCTTCAGGGAGCTGGATGAAGGCACACCTGGCTGCCATCTCCCATGGCAGTCCTCCCCCAGTGCAATCTCCCATGCGAAGGAGATATCAAGGCTCCCGTGTAGATCCTCTTCTGCTCTGTTTTTCACAAGAATGTAAGGTCAGCGAAGGCTCAGATTACATTCCTGCCGAAGGCTGTGTGACAACTTTTATGTTCGCTTTCTACTTCTCTTTTTTAAATCTCACTTTTCATCTGCTGCAGCTCAGCTTTGAGTGCAAACCTGTCTTGGCTAGACAGAAACATTGAGGTGGATACTTTCCACAAAACATTTTTATATTTGTAGATGAAGAGCTAACCAGTATCTGCAGAGATGAGCCCAATAAATTTCAGACTGCATGTAAGACTTTTCAGTCTTCAACGTCTGAGACCCTTCTCCCCAAATCTTGTTTTGGAGGTTTAATCCCTTCTTTGGAGGTTTAATCCCTACTTCCTGATACTTTAGCTTCTCATTTTAGTGCAACATGCAAAGTTAGTTTAAAAAAACAAACAAACAACCACCACACACAAAAAACCACACAGGAGAGTCTCTAAACCAGATGACAAAATAAATTGCAAGAAAGCAGTGGAGAAAATGGCTCGACCAAGAGGAAGCAAATGAAAGGCTAGAAGTTTTTCTTACTGTGCCTGTTGAGGAAGGTATAACCATTAGACAGGAGGAATCACTGACATGACATCCTTGCTGCTTTCATCAATTTAAAAGTAGCATTTCCCTTTGGTACCGCAATTGTTCTCTGCAGTTAAGTATGGTCTGTCACTCTGTGCCTCAGCAGAGAGGAGTCTGGTCTGGGCAGACACACAGCAGGCAAAACCTACCAGCAGCTGAGCAAGTTGCACCTAAAATTCTGTAGCGAAACACCAGATTTGTGATATAAAAAGTTTTGTGGCCAATTTAAAAATAAACTAAAGTGTAAATGATTGCAGACAATATAGTTGAATTTGTCATTAATTTTCTGCTTCAGAGTGAGAAATACATACAGTACCAGCAGCCTATGGATACACCTATAGCATTTAGTGCACAGAGGGATAAGGCAGCCATCTGTCTTAGGCTTACAAGCCTGAGGAATGACTCTGTCTTTTGTGAATGTCATTATGTAAGTTAAAAATAGGTAGAGTAGGCAAATATCAGAAGATTTCCAATAAAAGACAAACCTCGTGGAAAATTTTCTTTATTCAGATAGTTTTACTATCACACGGCTGCATCTAGGAGATGAACAGGCACTAGATGAAAAGTGATCAGGAGGGGGTAGTGTGAAGGACTGGTGAGAGATAAGGGAAGGGGAGAGCGAAGTGACAGGTTAGAGAAAAGCAGAGAATGACATTGGAAAGATGGCCTGGGAAGGAAGGAATTTACAAGGTAGGAAGAGAATTAAAGGAGTAGTGTGTAAGTTAAAATAAATGGCTTTTGAGCAAATCTGTAATAATTCCTGTACTAGGCAAGAAGGGGGAAAGTGGCAAAAGTGACTAAGCCAGATTTTCATCTGTTTGATTGTGCTGCTGCAAATAGCTGCCTTTTTTTTTTTTTTTAAGAGCCAATTAACACTATCTCAGTGCCCTCCTTTCCACTTACTGCAATGCCTCTGCACAACCCCCATTTTCACTGCTACCTGCTTGCCAGGGCAGTCTCCCTTTTCCCCCCAGCAATACCACATACCTGTGGAAACCTGAGGCTGCTCTCCCCTGGCGTTGCCTGCTGGGGCGGGGAGAAACGTGGTGCCTTCCTCCCTGCCGCAGCAGGCCAGACATCCCTCCTCAGCTGTGCTAGCTGTGATGGGCGGCCTTCAGCAGGGCAGGAAGGACCTGTGTGCTGCTTTCCAGCCCGGGTAGGAGGTTTGTACCCCAGGGTGAGGGGAGCAGCTGCCTCCAGCAGTAGCCAAAGATGCTACTTTGCAGTAGGACGTTGCTCAGATCGCTTTGGTGGGATGCTGCACTGAGAGCAGGGAAGTGTAGGGAGCTCTTGGGAGATTGCACTTGCAAACTCATTCAAACCCTTCTCCTTGTGTGACATGCAAATTCGAAGGCATCACGCTACCAAAAGAGATTTCTGACTCCTTTTTTTTCCTCTGTGAACTGCTGCAAAGAAGCTGTGTTGTACAACGGAGTTGGTGTTATGGTGCTTATTACAAGCTGGAGGGCAACTGGCTTGGGTATGCTGACAGAGTGGAAAAATACCTGCAGGTCCCCTGTTTGGCGTTATGCCCGCATGGGAAACTCCTTCAGTGCTACCAGCCTGGCTGCTGGCCGTGCTTCCTCCAGCCCCGAGGCTGGAGAAGCAGCAAAAGCTGTCACACTTGACTCCCCGGTATGTGGCTCCTGGGGAATTGTCATCAGCTGCCGTGACCTAGAGCAACTCGCTAGGAACTCTTCAGATTTACGGTCTCAGAAAACAAGTGACAGAAATATGGATATGGAGAAGGTTTATGATAGCAGAAAATGCAAGACTTTACTTTGTCAGACTGAGTTTTTAAAATAATTCATGTGTTTACTATCTTCATTGTTGTAGGACTGCTTTTTAACTCTCGCAAGCAGAGAAATCCAGACAGAGCCTGAGCCATGATGATGGTATCGGCAAGCTTTTTAAGGAGTAGATAAACTGCATAAGTAGTAAGCAGAGCCATGCTGACCTAAATCAATAAATAACCTTTGGAGAACTGAGCTTTTTTGAAACACATTAATAAACATCCTTGAAGGTTTAGGGACTAAAAGCAAAGAATTAAGAGGTCACAAATATAGTTGAGCTGTTTTGGTGCATTTGAACTATATCACACTGCTAATGACTCTTTAAAATAACTCAAAATATTTAGTGGATGCATGTTGGCATCCATATCGGTGCCTGCTTCACTTGATCTGAGTGCTTCTACAGCACTGATTAGCAGATAACGATATATTAAAGCTGTTTCCATGCTTCTGTGGAGTCTTGATGTCTGCTGTTTCCCAAAATATTAGATTTTCAGGTTTGTCCTACTCTAAAACAACAGACTTCAGAGACTTGAAACATAAGCGACTAAAAGCTATGATTTGCCTAACACATAGAGATGCTATTTTTCTGTTTCAGAAGATGTCAAACCATTTTCTATCACCCAGGATTTCTAAACATTGTAGTTTTGTGAGTAATAAAGGGAATGCATTAAGACCTAATAACAATAGAAGTGAGTCTGTATTCTGTGCGATTATTTGAACAGTGAGCACTGTACATAGCCTGGTTTGCCTGGTTGCTGTATTGCTAAAGGACTCAGGCCAACTAAGTGACTAGCTGCGATTCTGTAAGTTTCTATTCCTCCAGTATCTGGGAAATAGCTAGGCAAAGTTCGTTTGCTCCCTGTCCATCTTCTGTTGACTATATTGTACTCTGTAAGTCTATGCATCTTTAGTTAGTGCAGGTAGGTTATCTAGTTGTAGCTGACTGGAACTTAATTACGTTGGTATTCTTTAGTCCCTCCATCAGCCTTAGTAGCCATAGACAAAACATAATTATATACTGTCTGTTTCCGTGATTGTTAACGATTTCAGGAGGTCTTTCTCTCGGGTCGCTTTCAAGAGATTTAGAGGGAATTAATTATCTAGTAACATGCCTCATTTGGTCTCTGGTTTTAAAATCCCAAGGGATAGGGAGCAAAGAAGACCCAGACCCCATGGTGAGCTTACTGAGGCATAGAGCAGCGAGTATAACCTGAGAAAGGAGGGGATGGAGAGCATCTCAACCTTATGCTGCCTTGGGGGCATGCACGACCTCTTACAGACTGTGCTGATGCCTCAAATATGTGGCAGGAGCTCCATGTTCTGCCACTGCCCCTTCGCCTGCTGGTTTCAGAGCACAGCTCTTCACTGGCTGAGCACCCTTGTAATTGCTGATCTTTGTCACGATCACCAGTCTGTCGTGCTTGGGTGTGCCTGCTCTTACTGGCTTCTTGCTCTGCAGTCAGTGCCACTGGAAATGAAAGATCTGGGTTCTTGTCATAGGCAGTTGTGCAGACTAGGTTATTGTGAGTATTTGCTGAAGCTGTGTTGTGTAGCAAGTCTAGTGATACCCATTTTGCCATTAATATGCTCTGAAGCCTTTTGGAAAGCCAAGAGGACGTTTCCTTTAATTGCTTTAATTTAGATACATTGTTTTGGTCTCTGCATAGCCCTTCCTTGTTATATTGGTTTATATCAATCCCAGCTCTGTTAGGTTTATATTCGTGTAGGTGACTAAGATATTATATGCAATGTAGGTGGCAATTCAGACTATTGCAGAGTTCCCTGCTGTGCAAGTAGAAGCCAAATTTGCCGTTTTATCTTGGAAAGATTCTTCTTTTTTTATGACCATCATAGGATGATGGACATGTTTTCTTTCCTGGTATCAAGAAATACTGATTGTAGGAAAAGCCTTCTTTTTACTTAGACATGATAATTATAAAAGCTCTTTCAAAGTGAAACATAAGGGTGTTTGGGTTGGTTGCACTGACTTTTGAATAAAATTGACTGCTGGTGGATCTGTGCTCTTCCTACCCAGTTTATGGCCATATTTTACATAGAAATTGAGACAAGACTTTACACAATGTTATGGTGGGGTCTTTGTTATCCAAGTTGTTCTGCCATATGTATACTCATATCCACAATAAAAAGGGGGAAAAAAGTTTAAAAATCTTCATTTTAAGTATTTCTTTCTAGTTGAACTATTAGTAAAGTGTGGCAACAACAAGCAAGAGTGGTTTGTTTGGGTTTTTTTTTTTCGTATTGCAATCACTACAGAATACTGGCAATTCTAGAATTTGTTCTGCCAGCTTAATTAAAAAGAAACTCTAAAAGTTTGTTAAATTAGTTCCCATTGTAGAAAATAGAACTGTTTGCAAATTATTTACGTGCTTTGTCTGTTCTTCTAGGCATGTTTTCCACAAAGCCTGTGTGGATCCATGGCTTAGTGAGCACTGTACGTGTCCAATGTGTAAACTGAACATTTTGAAGGCACTGGGAATTGTGGTAAGTTGCACTGTTGGCAGCTGCTCTTCCTCCTATGTCTGAGTCCTGGAACAAGAGGAATAATTGTAGGGGAGAAAGGGGGAAGGGTGTTCCGTTCCAGTACCATTACTCAGAAAGTGTTTGGGGTTGTTTTACCAATTTCTTTGCTGCCAATAAAGCTGATTTTTTTGTTGTTGTTGTTATTGTTCTTTCCCTGGTTGGTCATTGAGAATATATTGTTATATTTGCATTTATAACAATTTCTTATCTAGTGGAAGTCTACTAGGTTCTCTACAATATTCCCTTTCCTCAACTTCTTCCAACCCATCTTTGTTAAATTTACTCTGTAGATCTCTCATTCTTGTTGAGGTCTCCCATAGACACTCTTACATTTGTTTACATGTTAAAAGCCATGCCCTAGCCAAAGCCAGCCAGTTTTCCTCAAGCAGCTCATGGTTTATGGAATCCCTGAGGGTTGCTTTTTTTAACCAGTTCACAAAGGGATAGAAGTGAAGAACCTCAAAGAGGATTTTTTTTTTCTTTCCTGTGTGAGGAAAAAATTACAAAGTGGGAGTGGTGCTCTTTTCAGAAGAAAGAAATAAGGAAGAAAGAGAACAGCGTATGAAGATACTGTCTAAAGCAGCTTTTGAATCAAGCCAGTGAGAAAAATCAGGCCTCCATTTTTAGCTGTGTCAGTTGCAAATTTGCACATTTTCTAAGAAATTGTTGCAGCTATATTGTGGATGACCTGTTTTTGCAATTAATAACACCTGGATTTTTAGAGGGGGATACAGTAGAGTTCAGTGCAAGTCATCATTGTTCACAGTGGTAAACCATACAGGCCTAGGCTGTGATACAAGCATATTTGAGTCCCTTTCTTAATCTGTTTTTCTGCTTCTTCCTCCACCTCTTTGAGGTAGACTGAAGGAGCGACTTTGGATAGATCTTGCTAATTCATGTGTTTCTCTCCTATGTGATCTGAGCACAGCCATAGCAGCTGAATAAAGTGTGTATGTGCGGTTTTACTCAATGTAGAGGTTTGCTACATATTCACCATTGTCATGTGGAATCACTTTTTTTCCAGCCAAACGTGCCATGTACAGATAATGTAGCCTTTGATATGGAAAGGCTCACCAGAGGCCAGCCAGCTAGCAGGCGTTCAGCACTCGGAGATTTTGCCAATGACAGCTCTCTCAGCCTGGAGCCCCTGCGCACCTCTGGGATGTCACAGCTTCCACAGGACGGAGAGCTAACACCAAGGTCGGGAGAGATCAACATTGCTGTGACAAGTAAGTCTTCTTTGGCTTCCAGTACTGTTCCATGGTTTTCCTGGTATGTGGCACTGGCTCTACTGGAGCTCTGTGCTGCGGGGCTGTGGTGAAAGATTTCCCTGCAGGGACAAAGGTGACCTCAGTGTCTCTGGAAGAGGCAGATGCTCCATATTGAAACTGATAACTCTGGGTATGACAGTGCCAACACTTCCATTATTAATGGTATATCCATTTAGATCTGCATGCAAAGGGCACTGCATGAACTAAAATGGCAACGAAATAGCCCTCCTGGATTTGGGAACCAGTACGAGAAGCTGGATTGCCAAAACCATTATTTACCCTTTCAGAGTACTTTACGTGCAATAATTTATACAAATATAAATATTTTAGCTGATTATTATTTCTGCAGACATTTTTTCCCCTGAGAACATTTCTACTGGAATTCTGACGTCTCTTAGCAGATGTTTTTTCTTACGAAATTTGTGAATTAAAAAGAAGTATTTGATGTACCAACATTTGAGTATTGTCCAAGAGTTTTATGACATCAGAAAACTGTTCTTGCACTGCTTGCAAACTCTTACCCATAAGAACAGCATGGGAAATTCCACTCACTGGATTTTACCTAGGGTTTTTAGTGTATAATAGCACTGTAATGAATACAGTATGTGTGGAATTGCATCATTTTCCATATGCTGCACAGTCTCAATTTGATGCATGAATGGTCGTTTTTGTGGCTGAATTGCGAAAACAGAATCCTTGCAGTACAACAGTCTAATTTTCTCCTATTTTGCTTATGTGCATCTGTGATCTAGATTTTGAACTTAGTGACACAGTTTGCCACTGGTAATATGTAAGAGGCAATGTAACTGATACAGTCCACTAGAGTGTTTCTTCAGATGCTGGAGCAAAGTAAATGTCTCATTAAAAAAAAAAAAATCTCATCTTATGAAACACACAGTCCACATGCAGAAATGTCTTGATCTGAGAAGGGAAAATCCACATACAAAATCTAGATTCTTTACAGGGCCAGTAAGTTACTTTGTCCTGCAGTGTTTGACATCTGATACATCTTGTATTCAGACCTATTGAACAGAGAGCAGATCTGTTGCTGTGCTGCTTTCCTTGTCAGGGCTGAGAAAACTCTGTAGCTTAACTGAAACTTTTCACTACTTGGCTTTACAGAACAGTTTTTACTGTCTGTGTCCAACCAGCAATAGTACTGCTCTTGCACAGATGGGATGCCAGGGTAAAACAAGAAATAATCAGCAACAGTTCATTCTGACAGTGTTTATAAAATAAAGCTTTAGAAAAGGCTGTTCAAATGTTTGGATTTTATGGATGACACATGCATTCTTTGATGCATGAGAGTTAAACCAAAAGCCATATTCAGCAAAAGTGTTTGTATTCCAAACTGTTACTATGTGCCAAATTGATCTTGAAGGGGGAGAACTTTGAATAGTGAACATTCTCTAATAGCCTTCTTCATACCCCTTTTTATTTTTTAATGTGTCTGTACATCTACGCTAATGTTGCAATTATTTTTTCCCTTTTGTATTCCTGTCTATTAAGTGGAAAACTAGTTATGTTTTACTGTTGAATGAGCTATCCTCTTTGGGGGGGTGGGCTGGTTTGGGGTTTTTTTATAGCATTTATTCAGCAGGGAGGGTGCAAAAACACAAGTGTGAGAGTCTATTGTGTACACTTCTGTGAAGAGCCGCATCTCAGCAAATCTAAACCAACCCTGACGGTCGTCTTTCTCACTTGGGGGTGGACGGAGTTTTCATTACATTTTCCCTTGTTCCTGCATTCCACTTTACATTGTTAAGTAATCTTTCTTTATCACTAACCCTTGGGCTCAGCCAGGAAATATTGTTGTGCCATGCTTTTTTTCCACACCTCTCTCCACTTCTTCTTTGCTAGCCTTCTCCAGTCAGTAACTCTGTGGCTAACCTCCTTCTGCTTCACCTCCTGGTGCCAGTCATGGCTTAGAAGCCTCTTGCCTTCCGCCAGTGGTGTTTGAGGGAAATATTGGCATCGCTTTGACATAAGCCTTCTCCCACGAGTGATTTCCTCCCTTTCCTTTGTCAACAGAAGAATGGTTTATTATTGCCAGTTTTGGCCTCCTCAGTGCCCTTACACTCTGCTACATGATCATCAAAGCCACAGCTAGCTTGAATGCTAATGAGTAAGTAAATATTCAGATGTTTCTATGTGTTTCTGGTGGGTGTGTGTCATGGACAGCATTGGGGACAAATACCAAGAGAACAGAGAAAGGGAAAAATGCCATTTTCAAATGCCTTTTCTGCTTTTCTCAAATTCAAGTCTGTCTGTTAACAGTAGGTTCCAGGGTAACACCTAAAGTCCCTCTTAATGGGTATTTAGCTGAATTGTCTGAGGAAATATCCTTGCTAAAGTGGAGACGTGGAATGGGGAAAAGAGAGGATATTTATATTCAGTTTTCTTGTCAATGGTCTAGGTAAACATTACATTTCTGCCATTAAATCCCCATGTTCAAAATTTGCCTGGCAGAGCCAAAAATCACTACCATCAGTCACCTTTGACAGTTTTCATCTCAATTTCATAGTCAAATTTCATATTAAAAAAAACCCCAAACAACTGAATTCCTAGTTGGCACACTTTCAGCTAAAAAAAAGGTATTTAAATAGAAAACTACCTTTTTGCTCTTAGGAGAGGGAAAGATGAAAGCGATTAATACACTACTGTTTCTTCTCTCAGGTGAAGAGAGCAGACCAGTCTTCTGATCTCTCATTTTAGTATGCTTAAGAATTGCAGTCAAAGGAGTCCTTAAAGACATCCCGCTTTCTTAATTTTTGTAGACACCCCCAGTGCCTCTTTTCAGACAGGCTGGACAAGAAATGACTCTAGCATGTGACTTGCAATCTTTTTTTATAGTTCTGTGTGTGGGCAAGCATAAAGCTGTTCTGCAGATCTATTAACTGGGTACATCTAGCTATTTTAATTTAGGTGTACTGAACATCTGGGCTTATGATATATATTTAATTATCATTTATTTATTTGGGGAGGGAAAGTGTCAACATCTTTCTTTGTCTCTGAACATCTTGGTGCAGCTGAGTTTCCCCTAATGCGTTGATCTCTTACCAAAAGTGGTGTAAGATTCAAAGGCAATCTCCTGTGCAGCCTGGAAATGTAGCTTTATAAACATAATTTCCTTTTTTTTTTTTTAACATAAGGGAAAGTGCTTTTTTTCCTTTTATTGCTGTCCAGAAAGTATAAGGTGTCCTCCTCAATAAGATGGAAACGTATTTAATAGTCTCCAGTGTAAAATTTTAGACATTCTCGAGCTAATCTTCTTGAGGAGGGGCAATAAGTTCTTTGGTCATCAGGGACCTTTGATTACCACTAATTTGCAAATCTTCCTTTCCTCATTTTTTCAGATGCTAGTTCCAAAAGGGCTTAATGAAGAAAAGTTTTAGAACTTCAAATAGCCCTATCAAGTCTCATGATTATTTTTTTCCCCATTTGTCAAAATCTTGAAATTGCAACTATTAATCAGCAACTTGGCAACATAGCTGTAGCTGAACAGAGTTAATCTGCGCTGAAAAATAGCTTGGGAAAGCGTGGGGCAAGAGGAGTTGTGAAACAGGAATGTCTGTGTTTCTGGGCGTTTCCACATTATCAGGAAGAAGACAAAGGAACTGTAGCCCATGGAGTGCCATCCAGATGTGGGCACTGATAGCAGTTGCATTTCTGCCTTGCCTTGCAACTCTTCTTTTTGTGGTCTTCTGCTCAGTCAGAGCTGCGTCTGTTTTCACTGAAAAAAGGGCAAGTTTCTTCACACTGGCAGAGAGTTAGGGCCTCCAGTGAAGTGTTTTCACAGTGATGTACAAACAAAGGGCTGATGTAAGGAGAGTTCCTTTCCCCAGCGATAGGAATGAACACGCGAGCATGTACCAGTGTATACTTTGAGGCAGACTTATGAAAACTGGCAAGTGCAGAAACCAGTAAAAAAATCACTTATTTAGGTAACTGAGCTGTACCCAGCTGTAGCCCTTAACCTCAGCAGCTTTTTGACTGAATCCTTTGGGATCTAAGCAGCCTCCACAAGTGCTGCCAGGTTCGGCTACTCATTTTAGACAGTTCAAAATGTGTACGTGTGACACTAATGCTTAGATTTATTGTTTCATTGACACCTTATGTTCCCCACTGCCAGACAAAGCACTTGCTGTGCTCAGTATCACGCCAGATATATGGCAGTTCCCTCTCACTGCAATTTCCATTAAATGTCATAACAGCATACCTGCTTTTTATGCCGTTCTCTATATGAAAGGCAGTGCTGGCAGACCCTATACTTGTTATGGTAGTGTTTCAAGAGGAAGCTGAGGGGTTTTTCTCAGTGGCAAGAATGAGGCCGTGTAATATGCTGATGCAAGTAAAAAGTGCCAAATATTCTGCATTAAAACTCACCAAAAACATGTCCTGATCCTTTTCTTTTTCTATGTCATTCCTGCAGCTTAAACATATTTATTTAGAGGAACATTTCTGGGGTTGTGTATACATACACATCTCTAACTGTGTGTATGTATGTTTGTCTGTATGGTATACACATGCACACATGCGTTTTTAAATAGTTACTGATAAAAGTAAACGTTGTGTAAGTGACAAGAAAATAAAGAACCAGCTGCTTTATCTTGGTCTGATAATATTCATGCATTATTGCTATTATTTAGGTAGTGATTTAAAGGACAAAAGAAGCGCATTTTGCTTTGCTTCTTGGGGAATGGTCAGAAATTACTGTATAACTGTGCTTTAAAGTCCAAAAAGCCCACATGTTGGATAGCACCACGTGTTTTCAGTAGCAGATGGAGTTTCCTCAGAAGTTTATAAGTGCTCAAACCTCTGGCTGTCCTGTGTGTTTTATGGGTTCTGTAAGAATGATGTAAGGAGTACAGACCTCTCTTAATGCTCTGGCCTTGTATAATTAGTCATTTCTCACTAACTGACTGTTACAGGATTTTTTTTTATTTTTTTTTTTTTAGTATTTGGAGTATTAACATTAATATAAATACTTTGTTCCTTTGTTTTTTCTGCCCCACAGAGCAGAATGGTATTGAAGAAACGCTTTCCGGCTGATTACCTTGGAGAGAGACACCTATTTTTATGCATCATTTATCGATCATGCAGCACAAGCAATTATTTAGTACATTCTATTTTTTCATAAAATTTGCTGATGCCAAAGCTTTGTATTAAGGAAAAAGTGAAGAAATAAAAAAACTTTAATTATGAAATCTTACTCTGTGAGAATTTTGTTTTTGTTGGCCTTTCTGTGTTAGTACTCAAGTCTGACAGCCTTTTGTAAATTTTATAAGGTGCTTTATTTCCTTTGAATGAGTTCACCTTTGCAGATCTGTATTCCTCTCCTTTCATTTTGGGGGACACAAGGGAACAAGTGGAAATCTCATGCAGTGCTGTTCTTGTGGTGCTGCCCGGCACTGGAGTGACTGAAAGGGTATTGCCAGCAATCGCTCTGTACCAGCTTGGGAGGGAAAAACGCTGTGCCGAGCATTCTAGTCTGTAACGGGCTTACCTTGACTCCAGCTGAGAATTAATTCGAAATAAGAACACTTTCTGCATTTCTCCTCCTGTATCGCTCTTGTGTCGCACCGAGAGGACTGCAGTATGATTTTTGTCTTCAGGTCAGGCATTGCTGAAGGTTTGCAGCACTTTTCTTCACATACAAATCAAACCTTTTCTGTCTTTTGCTTTCACCCCACCCTTCTTTCTGGTAAAAGCGAAGCTGCTCTAAACCACTACTTCCTTCCTAACACCAAGTGAAAAGGTAGCGTTTTCGCCTGCTGTCATCTGCGAAGCCTCCTTTCATATTAGTGACGGGGTTAGTTTTTGTTCAAATTGAGATCATGAAAGATTGATAATGGCCTTTACTGTAATGTAGGAACTCTATGCAAGCGTGTCCCTTCTTGCCGTGGCTTTTTTACTGGTGAGGAGGCAGAGGGAAAACATCTCATCGCCGTCCTTGCTCAGGCTGTTTAACGCAAGCTTACTTACGCGAGCAGCGTGTGAGTAATTTCACAACAGTCAGTTAAAACATGCGGATCTGATTCGCAGCCAAATGCTAATGCTTGACTTAATGAGATGGGTAGATGAAGGTAACAAATGGGTGAGAAAAATATAATTGATAGAAGTTAAAACCTATTCTGTGTTTGGTTGTTTTTGTTGTTCTTGTATCAAGATGTAGACATTTGAAACTTAATGCTTTCTAATTTAATTAAATAAAGAGAGAATCAATTTTACTGTAAGATTTAATTTTTTTGTGTACTGGGAAATAGAGGATTTAATTTAATTTTATTTTTATGTATAGGCACTTTCAGAATTTAGGAACACAGCCAGAGTCTACATTAAAATAGTTTCGTAATTCTTATCTGTCCAGCAGGCTTCAGCTGAGAAAGCAGCTTTTATAATAAGAAATGAAGTATGTGGTAGCTTCAGTACATTTAATAAAATTATTTTTCAGTGTGTCCTTGTGAAATTTTGAAAGAAACATGAAAACAATCAGTAGAGCAGTAAGTGCATTTTGAAAGACTGGAAAACCCCATTCGACTTATTCATGAAGAGAAAAAAACCCTCAAACTTCGTGTGTCTGAGGACTGTCTCCTTGTAAAATACAGTGTTTGTCAGCTGAGCATTGTTGCCAAAAATGTGGAGGAATGTGGTTAGAGCATGGTTTAGCATACAGGCTGTGAAACAAAAGGGTGACTCTTTTTTCACCCATCTCAACGGCAGTAGTAAAAATAAGTTTGTGTTTGTCTCTGAAACAAAAATCCTTAAGTGCTTTTTAATGCTGTCAAGAGGGATGCGCAGGGACAGCCTGAACATCTGACCCAGATGCGAAAGACACCACAAACAGTCCCAGTTCATGGTTCTTCCGCAGAACTGCAGCAGCAGCAGCAGTTGAGTGACATTGGGAACAAAATGGTTGACAGGGCTTCTAGTGCATTTCCCTTTGCAGAGGATTTGAATAACCCAGGGCCAACTTTTTTTACTCTTTCTTTTGATCCTCTAACAATTGTCTCAACAAAGCGTTAATAAAAATGCAGACAGTATCAGCTAGGTAAGTTACAGGTCAGGCTAGCGATGGAACTTTATCCTGTTAGTAAAATAAATATATTTAAAGATGGATTCTGCACCATCCCAGAAACTCATTTTTTTTACTTCGGATAGGCACAGTAAGGAAATTCCAAAAGTTTTTGCTGCCTGTCATGCTTTCAGATCCGCACGCAAAAAAAATGAGTAATGTTACTCTCATATGCATAATCGTAATAGTGAAAGGAGAAGAGCTGGTCTCTCCTTGCAGATGTTGCACAGATGGCAGGACTGGGCTGACAGAAGGGTATGATGGGGCATAGTTCAAGAGGGAGTAGCAGTGCCTCGGCAAACAGCTGGCTTTGAGGAGAGGGTACTTTATGAAATAATCCTGCTCTGTTCCTTAACCGAGAGGGTGTCTGAAACAGATCGTCTGAGATGGGGAGTGCTCTGATCGGATTTCAGTGTGAAGTTGTCACTGTGTGCGAGGAGCTGTGGGGGGACTGCGGCTTGTGGCAGAGGATGGCCCTGGTTAGGGACTTAAAGGCATTAAAATACTTTCAGATGGAAAGGGAAGGCCAGGCGATGCTCGCTCCTGATGCACCTGTGCTGTGGCCCTGCTGGGCCTCCTGACTTTTTGATCTTGGTGTTGTGCTCACTTCTGTAGCATCCTGCGGTAGGTAGAAGGACCAATTCCAGGGTAGCATGTTTATTTTCAGACTCAATATAAGTTATCTGAAATGTTCTAAGTATGTAATGAAGACTAGCAGCAGAGAGCACTGAACGTTCATTTTCACGTATTAAAACTGAATGCAGTCTTCCCATTTGTTTTCCGTACCTAAGGGGTAAATCTTGATCTTTCTTGGTAAGTGCAAAATGGGAAGAACAGATTCATAAGCTGACTTTGTAGCTGTGGATCTTTCTACTTATCCTTAAAATACATTTATTCAGTAAATTTATCAACTGGACTGATGCCACATTTTTAAACAAGCACTAGCACTTTTCTGCATTAAGATGAGCGTGGCTGGGTCACTGTGTCCTGCTGACTCTGTTTCTCTAGCCCTAAGTTGTGGGCAATGGTACTGACCTGGTTATTAGAGCATCTGAAGATCGAGTGTTGAAAAGGACTGAGCAGCAACTGGGTTTTCTGCACTGGGTGGACTGTCTGCACTGGGTGGACTGCACTGAACGGTAGAGACATTTGGGAAAATAAATTATGTGTCCCAAAGTGGTGTGAAAGCCAAGAGATTTGTATGTGTATGGAAACATGCAGCCTCCTTGGAAGTGGGTGGCTTAAATTTCATTTGCCAAGAAGCAAGAAAACATCACAGTAAAGAATTTTAGAGGTGTTGGATACGTAGTGCTTTTTTCCAGATTAATTTTAAACATTTATTGTTAGATGACCTGTCTGCCTGTTGATTAAATACCTCCCTTTAATCTGATGGAGTGGAAGTCTGGGCGCACACGGAGGAAATGACAGCCTGGGCTGTCTGCTTCCTAATCCCTTGTTTGATTATTGTGTAATAAAAACGAAAGCAACACCAAGCTTTTAGTGTTCCCTTTGTTTCATTTCAGCATTGGCTTCTCAGTATGTAATATTTCAGCAGGTGGAGAAAAGGGAGATGAAACATCCAATATCCATGGCTTATTTCAACTGCAAGCTGAGACTCAGTCATCAAAAATTAAGTGATCCTGACCCATAACACATTTCAAGAAGAATCTTGAGTTGAGTTTTATCTGGTATAATTTCAAAGTAGGTTCAGTTTTTTGTTTGAAGCCAGACTATGATCAGCTGGAAGTCGTAGTTCCAAGTTTATGTTCTCTCAAAAACTCAACTTCTATATTTATTTATTTTATTTTTATTTTAGGCATTGCCTGGTGTTAGAAACCTGTAAATTTGGAGAGGGTTCAGAGCTAGACAGTGGGTGTTCATCATCCCCTACTGACTGCTTCTGCGAAGTATATTCCCACACAGTACGTGTCTTCCAAATACCTGGATATATGCTCCTGGCAGAACGAGCAATTCAATCCTATGCAATGAACTAATTTCACTCTTGTTTCAGTTAACTACACGATCAAAAATAAATTGGTTTGCTTATGAGAACTTCGCCTTCTCACTGCGAATGGTGGAGTGAGCATGTGTACTGGCTTTTGGGGGTAAAAGAGAGGTTTGGAGGGGACTTAGGAAACTGGCAGCAGATACGTTGCCCAGCTTCAGTTTGCTGCTGTTCTCAACAAGGATTTGACCTGGGCGCGCAGCTGCTGTGCAGCTCAGTCTGGAGTATGCTGCAAATCAGGACGGCGGCTTGCTGTCACAGCTTGCAAAATGAGTTTGCGTGGAGCCCGTCTATGGCATCCCTGGCTCTTCCAGCCAGTGCTGGGCCGGGGCCTCTCCTTTGATAAGTGCAAAATTCATCCTCCCTTTTGCTCTTTCAACAACTCTACGCATTTGATTCTAACTCTAGCTTTTTCTTTTTAATCCTAATAAGGACTTCTTTTTTTTTCTTTTCTGAGTTTCTGTCTTTTGGGTGAGTGAGGAAGAGAGAAGGTGTTTTGGACAGTAACAGCTGAATTCTTCCTTCATATCTTTTGTAAGCTCTAGGCTGGACTCAAAGTTTGACAAAGAAAGGAGGAATTAAGCACCTAAATTCTACCAGGACTAAAACTGCAATCCCCTAAGCATCTTGCTCCACTGATGCCTGAAACCGAAGGCACCTTGCTTTGCTGAGTGCCTTCTTGATGAACTTGGAAGCTTTTCAGTTGCCTCCAATTTGGCTCATGTGGCTGCCTGGCGTACTGTAATCTAAGCAGCCTTGCTCCCAGCTAATCCCCCCTGGGATCGAGAAACCGAGTAATGAAATGTTTTGGCCAAGGGCCTGATTTGATAGATGCTTTCAGAGAGAACCGTTTGTACAGCAGTAGGGCTGGGCAAAACTCATCTGTGGTTTTGGAGAACTGTGGGAATGCCAGGCCACTGAGTTAAAAAAAAAAAAAAAGAAGGAACTTCCATTCCCCGCTCTATCAACAGCCACTTGGTGCTTGTTTCAGGTATCACCAACGCTGGAGAAGAGGGTTGGGTCTGCTTTGGTTCTGTGCAAGGAAATATGGAGGTGCCTGTTTCTAGAAGGTGACTTGGGGTGGATGGAGGTTGTTGAGCTCTGGAGGAGGTCAGGCTTTCAGCAGCATC